TTTTACAGAAGAGGAAACTGAGGCCCAGAGAGGGAGCAATCACACAGCCAGCAGGTGGCAGGACTGGGTCTCGAGTCTCATCTAATAAATTCGAGGCCAGTGCTTTTTTCTCTAAGAAAGAAATAACCCTAGGCTCAGTGTTCTCACTTTGCTTTCTGTCCGCGGGGAGTCGGAGAAATTCCAGAAAGGCAAATCAAGCCTCTACGCACAAATCCAAGTAGGGCTGGAGCGAACACCTGTGCCCCACGGCGCCTGCCGGGCCAGGCGCGGGGCTGGACCAGTCGGAAATATTGGAGTCGGTGGCAACGCTAGAGACTACGACTTCCCAGGACGCCGTGAGTGGAAGAAGTGTGACGCTGTTGCCCCACATCATCCCGGGCTGCATGGGTCCTGAGGTCCCTGAGCCGTGTGCCCAGGCCCCCGACACACCGCGGGTCGGGATCACAACCTCAAACCTCAGCTCCTAGGAGCGCGGGGCCTTTGAAGGCGCAGTTCAGACTCCTGCTTATTTGGGGGAGGAGAGGGGGGGAATAAAGCCCAAGGTCAACCAGCAGGTGGTGCCAGGGTTAGGGCTGGAAACCACGTGTCCTGGACCCCCAGCCGGCCTTCTGCCACACGCTTCAAGCCCAGGTTAGGGGTAGCGGCTGGGAAATGCATGGGCGTTGGAGTCAGCTGGAGGTCAGGCGAGAGGCTGGATGGGGTGACAGTAAAGGTGCCTGGGAGAATCCCAAACGTAACTAACCCAGGCAACCTTCCGCACGTCAAAGGTCAGCAGGTAAACAAAGAACCTAGGAAAATCGAGGTGTGCGCATGAACTTTTACCTTCTTCCCGGTCCTGCACATCGTTCTAGCCGCGTCGGTGCCCTGCGCTCCTCCTCACGCTGGGCACAGCTGTCCGCGGAAGCTTTGGGACCGCATGGCTTGGACCCAGGCTGAGGGGTGCGTGGGACCTTCCTCGGGGCTGGGGGGATAAAGGAGAGAGAATGAATAAATAGCCGCTTCTAAAGTTCCACATCATTTTCTGGCAAATTTTTACTCCCCTCCATAGAGCCAATTAAACGCAATAAAACCTTGCATGGAACCCCTCTTCCTAGCAAAGCGTCGCCAACAATTGCCTAAGGGATAAACCAAATACGCCTGAGATAATTACACCAAGCACGGGGCGATGATTTGCCTGCCAGCGTCCTCAACGCCAGCCAATATTTGTATAGCATACTGGTTGTTTTAAAAAATAAAAAATTACACGCGGAAACTTGAAACCGACTGGTTGGTGCCAGGGTGGTTACTTGATCTGTTTTTCTTGAACGGGGGTCTGCAGGCAGCTGGAGCGCGCGCGTACTGGCCCCCGCCGGTGCTGCTGCGCGCCTGCAAAACTTGCCGGAATTAAATCAACCTCGGGGGAAAGGGGGAAAGAGAGAGAGCGCGCCCCCCACCGCGGCCGGAGCTCCGTTGCCAGACCCCGCGCCCCGCCGGGAATCCCCCAGAATACTCCGCGGCGGCGGCGGCCCGACTCCGAAATGGACACGCGGCCGGCGCTGCGGGGCCGCGCTCTCCGCCGCGAGGCCGCGCTCTCCGCCGCGACTGGGGCCTGGGCCGCGGCAGCCGCCTGGGGCTGCAGTGCGGGGGAGGACTTTCTACCCTTGACAAGTCCACCCGGAACGCGGAAGCTTGAGGCTTGCCGCGCACCGCTCGACCTCCGCGTCTGTGTTTTGGTCCGAGTTGCGGGGAGCCGCTCTGCCAGAAGAACGCCGTTGGCTCGCCGAGGCCGGAGGCGCCGGTCACGCGACTCGCGTCCCCAGGCGCCGAGCCCGAGGTGGTGGCGGCAGATCTGTGGGCTGGAACGAGCTTACCCAGCGAGAGGCCAACTCCAGCTTTAGTGTTGAGGTTATGAGCATGAGGCTGGTTCGGGGCACCCTTCAAGGGCCCCTTCCCATGCTGTCCCCAGACGCAGCGGAGTCCAAGTGCCCAACGAGAACGTCCTCAAGCTGCTCCCAAAGAGGAGGCACTGCTTTTTCGGGAGCCCGCGGAAAAGATATTCTCAACAAAATTTGTCTTTGCCCGCGCTGCGTGTAGGGCCAGGGCCGGAAGAACCTTTGAGCGCTGGGCACGCCGAGCTCCCACCAGCAGCCTTTGGGCGGCTCTTGGGCCTGGACAGGGCTGTTCTCGCACCGCGTCCGTCAAAGTAGAAGGGTACACCCGGCGCCAGCGGGCTCTAGCTGTCACTGGAGCTGTGGGCGTCCTCGTAATTCCTCCATGGCTTCGTGAGGCCAGGAGGCCGTCTGCTGCTTGGTTCCTTAAACTGCTTCAGCAGACCAAAAATCCCGCAGAAAACTCTACTGGCGGAAGGAGCCTTCCCGGCAGGGAGCTTCAGCGAAAGCATCCTCCTCTGAAAGGGTCTCCTTTCCTTAGGACAGGCCAAGAGGCTGCTCTTTCGCCCCGGGTCTCTTTTGCACGCTTCCCTTTAACGCCTATTCTAAAACGTCTGCTGGCCTAGGAAAACTAACCAAATAGCACTAGCCAGAAATCCAGCTGCTGCCTAAAGATTAATATTATGAATCTGTTCCGCTCACCGCACTCCGGCGACCCGACGCGCAAACAGCCCTTCTTCTGGTCCTCCCCTCGGGCAGCTCGCCAAACGTCGGAAGCTAAAAACACTCGACCTGGCGTTGCCAACCAAGGTTGGAGAGCGAGGGGCAGTCTCCTGAGCAGTCTGGGCCAACGGCCTTCGGCCTCCAGATTTAGGCACAGAAAAGAAGAAATTAAAAACAGAATGAGTCACAGTCCCTGGTTGCTGCTTTCTCCTCAAATCTGCGAACTGGAAGGGACCCGTGAAATTTCCAACTTCAGACATCTCGTTTTACAAATAAAGAAACTGAGGCCTAGAGATGGAAAGAGGGTATATATATATATATATATATATATATATATATATATATATATATTTGGTCTCCTTCTTCTTCTAAACTCTGCTTTTCCTCCCTGCCTAAGGGCAAAGGCAGCCGAAACCAGACTATAACTGCAGGTTCTCTCCAGTCAACTGGGATTCGCTCATGGGTGTGCAGGAAAGTGCAGAGCAGGAGACTGCTTCCGGGATCCCAGCAAGCACGGGGACCTCAGCGCTGCAGTTCATCCACCCTCACAGGTCACACCAGGGCCCTGTGGATTGGTCATTTTGACCTCCTACTTAATTTTAACTATCTCCCTTTCCCTCGACGTGCTCAGAATAGCAAGACTCCGCTCCGACACACCCAGGTGATGAGACCTCTGACCCCCCAAGCCCTCCTTCTGGCCCCAGCTCAGACGTCACCACCCAAAGAAACGCTTCACCCTGTCCCATCCACCCGCTCTTAATAGAGCCTCCATCCACCAAGCACTTAGTATTTACCCAACTTTCCCGGTTACTGTCAGTCTCTCCCACTAGATTGCGGTCTGGAGCGCAGAGAGCTGTCCCAGACCTCCATGTACCAGGCGCCTATCATTGGGCCCGACACTCAATTGGCGCGCAAGAAAACTGTGATGAAGTTGACATTTAGCGAAAACGGCCCTGGGTCTCCTCCGCTTTAGCTTTTCCCTCCAACCCTCCGGCCTTTGGGATTTCTTGAAGAGAAGAGACCTTGAGGCCACGCTGCTGCGAACTTGGCCCAGAGTGGCTAGTCCAGGAGGAAGGCAGTGTAAGGAGAGAGAAGCCCAGAGCTGGTAGGTGGGAAGAGGGACGACTGAAAGGGCGGGGACAGGCGGGAGATGCACGAGAGGAGCGAGAAAGCAGGCTCCTGTACCCCTCTGCCGTGCGTCGCGACCCGGGTGGGGTGCAGCGGCGGGGACCGCACCGGGCGCCGTGCCCCTCCCTGAGAACAGCCTGCGCCCCCCGCCCCACTCGGCCGCGGCTGGGGGCTGCGGAGCGGGTGGTAAATGCTGGGGGTGGGGCGCCCGCGCCGAGATGGAGGAGGGGGCGGGGGCGAGGCACGGCGCCTTCTCGCCCCTTCTTCAGCAAGAGACGCGGCGGCGGAGTCCCTCAGCCTCGGTCATGTGATAGTCTCGAAGCGCGAGCTGCGGGGGTCTCGGCGTCTCCGGGACCATTACAAAACGCAGCCAGGAGAGCGCGTCGCTGCCACAGCCGCCGCCGCCTCTCCAGCTCCAGACGGGCTCGGGAGAGCGGCAGCCGCCGCGGCGCGGACGGCGGAGCCGCCACAGGCCAGGCCCGCGCCTTCCCGGCGTTCGCAGACGCCCCTTCCGCTCGCGCCCCGCGTCCAGAGCCCCCGCCCCTCGGCAGAGCCCGCAGGCGCCGCCGCAGCAGAAACCTCTAAACTTTTTCCCCCCAGGCGACCGCCTACAGCTCTATCCCAGTCTCCGCTGCGAGCCGCTGGAGAAAAGGGAGACGCGGGCTACTGGAGCCGAGCTTCCTTCTCCTTACCTCGCCTCTCCCCTCCAGGAACACGAGAACTCCAGAGCAGACTAAGTGGCTGGTCAAGGGGCAGCGCTCAAGGCGCTGTTAACTCCCGCCCACCGCGGCCTCCTGGACAACGAGCGCCAACTCGATTTAAAGGGCTAGAGTCCTGACTGCCCAGTCCTTCCTCCCAGCTCTCTGGGCCTGCGCTTCCCTCGGACCGAGAAAAAGCAAAGAGGAGGCCGGAAGGGAACAGGGCCCTCCCCACTCCTTCTCCGCCAGCTCCCACGCTCAGCCTCTGGCCACCCGCGGGAAGACGCCGAGAGGGTGGCGGTGAAGCTGGCGCGCCCCGCCCGCGCCAGTCGGCGACCGTCGGGGCCAGAAGTTGAGAGCGTCGGATTGCTAAACTGGGTCAAGAGGCCAAGCGCGGAGACCGCAGGCCGCTGAGAGAAGGCGGGAGAGAAACGGCGAGAGGGTCTGGGGGGGAAAGAGGGCGGGGTGGCGGGTCCGGGAGGGCGGAGTGGGGGTTAGTGGAGACAACCAGTCCCCGGGAGCGGGGTGCGGAGCGACGCTGCGGTCCACTGTGAGCCAGAGGGAGGTGGAGGCGCCAGGGGCGATGCCGCGGCCGGGGAAGAGTTCGTACAGCGACCAAAAGCCGCCCTACTCTTACATCTCGCTGACCGCGATGGCCATCCAGCACTCGGCCGAGAAGATGCTGCCTCTGAGCGACATCTACAAGTTCATCATGGAGCGCTTCCCCTACTACCGCGAGCACACGCAGCGTTGGCAGAACAGCCTCCGGCACAACCTCTCCTTCAACGACTGCTTCATCAAGATCCCGCGGCGGCCCGACCAGCCCGGCAAGGGCAGCTTCTGGGCATTGCATCCCGACTGCGGCGACATGTTCGAGAACGGCAGCTTCCTGAGGCGCCGAAAGCGCTTCAAGGTGCTGCGCGCTGACCACACTCACCTGCACGCGGGAAGCGCCAAGGGCGCGCCAGGTGCTGGCCCCGGAGGGCACCTGCACCCGCACCACCACCATCACGCTGCCGCGCACCACCACCATCACCACCACCCGCCCCAGCCGCCGCCGCCCCAGCCGCCGCCGCCGCACATGGTGCATTATTTCCACCAGCAGCCGCCTCCGGCTCCGCAGCCGCCGCCGCACCTCGCGTCGCAGCCACCGCAGCAGCCGCCGCCGCCGCCGCAGCCGTCTCACCCCGGCAAGATGCAGGAGGCGGCGGCCGTAGCGGCGGCGGCGGCAGCGGCGGCGGCGGCGGCCGTGGGCAGCGTGGGGCGCCTGTCACAGTTCCCGCCCTACGGGCTGGGCTCGGCCGCCGCCGCTGCTGCCGCCGCCGCCGCTGCGTCCACGTCGGGCTTCAAGCACCCGTTCGCCATCGAAAACATCATAGGCCGGGACTGCAAGGGCGTGCTGCAGGCCGGCGGGCTGCCCTTGGCGTCCGTCATGCACCACCTGGGTTATCCCGTGCCGGGCCAGCTCGGCAACGTCGTCAGCTCCGTGTGGCCGCACGTCGGCGTCATGGATTCAGTGGCCGCGGCCACGGCCGCCGCGGCCGCCGCGGGCGTCCCCATGGGCCCGGAGTATGGGGCCTTCGGTGTACCGGTCAAGGCCCTGTGCCACTCGGCAAGCCAGAGCCTGCCTGCGGTGCCCGTGCCCATCAAGCCGACTCCTGCGCTGCCACCGGTGGCCGCGCTGCCCGCAGCGCTCGCTGTCCCCGCGGCCGCACAGCAGCCGCCGGCACCGTCCACCGTGTGCCCGGCGGCCGCCGCCTCACCCGCCGTCTCTCTGATGGAGCCCACCCCTCCGAGTGCGGCCGAGAGCAAAGGCGGCTCTCTGCACTCGGTGCTGGTGCATTCTTAGGGTACCCAGCGGGCTGAGAGAGACGAACGCATGGAGACTCACCTGGCCCTGGACCGCCGGAGAGGGCGAGGGCGCCCTGACCAGGTCGGGTAGAGCTGGCGAGCCCCAGCCTTTGCGGGAAAGGAAGGTATTTAAACAAACCCGAAAGTAGATTCTCCAGTGGTCTGAATAAATATAACACTTCTGGTGTCTGTGTTTATACTATGTTGTACAATCAGAATAATGAAAGCCAATTTTCAGGTAAGAGTTTCTATTGTAATTAAAATTATAAATCCGTAAGTTATGGGGGGAGGGAACGAACGAGTTTGGGGAAGCCTCATTCCCTGGCATATTGGAATTGGATTTCTATTCTTACTCCCGGGAGCAGAAGATGGCAGGACTAAACCTCCCTGGGAGAAAGCCAACAGAGAGTGACGATGAAACAGACCTCAGCCACCAAGTTTCTTCCCGCGGGTCTCAACCTCTCGTGAACAATGTCGCCTCTCGTGAACATTGTAGACAAAACTGCTATTCACTAAGGAAATCTCGTTTTATTTAAGAAGGAAAAGAGGGAGCATTTGATACCGTTATTTTCCTGGTCGGTGAAATGGACAAGGACACGGTAGCATGAATAAAGCCTCTTTGGGGGCAGTGGGAACCTCACGAAGGATCTTGGGAAACAGTTAAGTTTCTTGGCTCTGACCCGAGGGTCGAGAAGGATAGAAGGAACGGCTAAAGCAATTAGTTTGCACAAAAGAGAATGGCAGCAGCTTAAAGCGCAAAGCCCCAGATTCCAAAAGTAAGTTCGGGAAACATAACCAAAGAGAGACATTAAAGGAGACTTTCTACCTGCAATTCTTTTGTGAATCAATCGGATGAGACCGTTGAGGAGCCCCCAGACAATGTGAATTCCCATGATCCGTTACATTTGGGATTTTTGTTTTTAATCACTTGCATCATGGGATTTTGTTCCCCTAACTCAAGAATGCAAGAAAAACCTGCCACGTCACCCGACAATATTGCTCTTAACGTTTCCAGGAGCGTTTTGTGGCCGTTGCCTCCCAGCCTCCTCGGGACAGATGCGTGAGGATGACCGGTCACCTTTGCACGCTGCCTTCGATTTGGTATTCCATGTGCTGTTTGGGCGCGTTCTTCTTTCAGGCGAACTCTTCAGTTTCAGATCCTGAATGGAAAAGAAACTTGCTTTGCCGCTGTTGCTCTTCCCCGTTTTTGAGACCCAGGAATAGCACTTTACTCGCAACAAACTTTTGGGAACGAAGGGGGGGCAGGTAGGGAGAAGGCAGCTGTCCTTTGCCCCGAGTCACCTCTGGCCTTTGTCCGCGCCGCGTTCGGGTTGTGACTTTGTGCCAAGTTCATGTCTGCCTGTGTTGTACGCGGTGTTCTCCATTAAAGCTTCTCTCTGGATGTGGCGGTGTGAAGGTGTTTCGCTTCTCAAGAGACGAGGCCGCGGTTTGAGTGCCCACTGGGGGAAAGTCTGGGGACTTGGCAAATCCTCTTCCTCCCCTTCTTTTTCAACTTCTGAGCATCAAAGAGGGTGAGTTCACAGGCGAAGCGGCAGCTGGACAGGTTTCCTCCTCCGTGGCTCCTTTTGTCAGTTGGTTCAATATCTCTATGTGTTTTACCCGTTCTTCCGCTGCTTTCCTAGCTGAGCTCTAGTCCACCTCAGTGCAAGAGACTGGATTAGCAAAAACCCGCCACAGTGAATTTCTTCTGTTCCTACATGAGGTTTATTAGCAATAACCATCACCAGCCCCCAACACCCTTTCCCTTTTCTGAGAGCGGGCTATGGCCCGGGTCCCGGTGCCAGTGGGTGGGGGCTGGCGGCGCCCCATTAAGTATGCGGGGCGGGGAAGAGGGCGCCCGGACTCCGCCACTGCCGCCGAGGCCCACATTCCCAAGAAGCGCGCGCCCAGCCGCGGCGGCCTAGGGGACCTGTTGCGCATCCTCGGCAGCCTGGGGCCTGGAGGCAGAGAGCGCTGGGCCCTGGAGAAACGGCAGCGCCACAACACGTGCTCCTTGGAGAGGGCCTGCGAGCTGCAGACCCTGTGGTGCTGCGCGGGAAGGTGGCGGGACACCTCGAACAGGGGTCCATCTTAAACCAGCTTCACTGTGCCCAGCCAGGCCGGACAGAAGCCTCCTCTAACCTTTCATCAGAAGAAAACAAAGGACCAACGAGGTGACCTGATCATAGTAATGACACTGAGGGGATTTGGGTTACTCCTTAAAAATAAGAATTTCCACGCACCCCTTATTTACAAGTCCCATTGCAGCGTGCAGCTAAGTTTCGTCCTCGCCTGGGAGACAAGTCTCAGTTTAGGTCACTGCCTCCTTGGAGGCACAAACAACTCCAGTGTATCCTATCTCTCTAGCTTGAGACTTTGCAAGGTTCCCCGCAGGGTTTTCCTTTACACTAGTCTGAGGCTGTTGAAAGAAAGAAAAGGGGGAGCCACTGGCATGGGGATCATAGATTTGGGGTGACTTGGGAGCCTGGCTGCTTCGCCCACTTCTGGGTGAGTTGGTGCCTGAAAGCCCCAGGCTGGGACCCCTAGTTCAGGCGCAGCAAGTCACAGGGCCTGAAGAAGGGCAGTCGCTGGATCTCAGTTGTTTCTTCAAAAGAACATCACATCTCTTCTTCTTTATCCACCCGCCCCAAAAGGGCCAGTGTGCTTTTTAGCGGTGCCCATTGTCCCACTTCCGGGAGAGGGGCACAGTGCAAAGTGTCGTCCAGCACCCAGGGGACTGGCTTAAGTGACAGCCCCTCCTGAGAAGAGAGGAGCCTGTGGGCCAACTCGGCAGAGAAGGATGAGTAATTGACCTTCCGCATTCCTCAGACCCTCTTAGCAACCCAGCCTCACACCAACTCCCTGGAACCCCTCCTACCTCTGTGGGGAAAGCATGGTTGTTGTGTTTTGTTTTTACTGTAAAGAAATAGAGAAAGGAGAAGGGAAAGCAGAGTGAGCTGAGAGATGATTCTACTCAAGTTTTCATCCAAGAGGAGACCCTGGTACCCAACGGAAGCTATGCATAGCACTGAAGTTGGAGAACAAGGGGATTCATGTAAATATACAAAGGGGGAGGAGCTTTCTGTCAAAGTGCTGATCCTAAGGGAGGTCCCAGTTAAACCCCCAATACTGACAGAGCCCTGAAGACCCCCTCTTAACTAAGATGGATCTGCAATCTAACTGTAACTCTCAACTGAGTGGTGGTCTCATATGGTCTCACAGGTATTCTCTCTCTAGCTACATGTTGGAATAGAGAAAAAGTAAGTTCTGGACATAAGTGAGGTAGAAATAGAGGCACTTATAAATGTATGATCATCTCAGTTCACAAGATTAATAAAATCACTCTTGGTTTGCTAAGTACTGGTGGAGATAACCTGAAATTATGCTCCTGGTTTCCAGGATGATACAAAACACTGTAGTTGTTTAGCTTGTCCCCAACTTAATTGAATGCACAAAACCTTGAGAAACATGGGGAGAGGCAAAGAGGAGGGAGAAAGATTTTCATGTAGCTGCCCTTAAAATAAAAGAAAAAGGAAAACAACTTGGAATGATCTACTTGATTACATTCCCTTGGGAAGATGAGAAGAGAGCTGAGGGTCGAGGGAGAATGAAGCTATTTTAGCTGTGGTCCCTAGGAGAACAGGCCCTCCTGCAAAGGCCAGAATTGGCACAGTTGGCATCTGGCACTTAGGAAGCCTGTCAGTCAGGCTGGCTTGTGGTCAATTATCTCCTTAAGTAGACTGGCATTAGTCCAGCCAGGGCGGGGAGGGCTGGTTGCATCAGAGCCAGTTAGCTGGAAGTGGCACTGCGGAACTCCAAGTATCTTTGCATTGGGGGGTTTGGAAAGCTGATCAACACATCTCCCTCTGGGACTCAAAGGTGACACTTGCCTACTTGGCAATAGTACAGCAAGACTGCAGAAGAGGACAGAAACAGAATGCCTTAGGAAAAGAAACATTGACCACCAAAGCCACTAGTTCCCCTGAAATTCCATTCACCTGACAAAACTGCCATTTCTGAGATGCACAAAATTATACAGAGATCCCTGTAAATTGCGGTGGGATTTGACTCCTCCGTTGGTAAGAATTCTCATTCTTCATTGTACCTGACTATGAGATGGGCAGAAAGGCTAGTTTGGGGTCATGTTTAGGTTTGGATGATATGGCAAGGGTTTGAAGCAGTGTTAGCGCTCCTCAGACTAACACTAATTCACATGTGATTCTGCATGGGGTGTGGGGCAGGGTGGCGTAGATGTTGAAAATGAGAAACTAAAGAAATGGTTTCAAAAGCCAGTGATAACTTCTTTGTGGGTGAAGAGGCAGAGTGGGAATCCAAGTGGAGGTGGGAAGTCCTTGAATTCCAAAGGGCAAAACTGTTTCTCCAAGTCCAACATTTTCATTTTGTTCATTGAAAGTATTTTCATTAACTTTATCTTTAAAAGCTGAAATGCTAACTTATACTCTTTGGGGGAGATTGAAGAGATTTGTTTGGGATTTGAATTCAGTCTTAAGCCATTGTTTAAATGCTATGAGTTTGGCAAAACTCCAGATGTACTCTGTCCCAAGCACTTTTCCCCTTAACTATCCTCTGTGTATTTTAAGGAAAATTCAAGCCACATGTTGCTCTTTCCCCCTTGCATTCAAATGTAGTTTTATTGAATTTTAGCATAGTCCATGAAATTTAAATTCTGAGTTTTAAGCCATAATATATTCATATGATCTACAAGCAGTCACATGATATGCACATATATCATTAAGCAGAAAATAAAGCCTCTGAGAACTGTAGTCATATTATTATAGTAACATTTCTCTAAACTGAAGAGCCATGCTGAGAATGCCATATTAAGAAAGGATTTTATAAAATTATCAAAAAATTCAAAAAAGCTGACAGCAATCCATAAAAATATTTTTAAAAGAGTATTTCTTGGAAGATATTTTGGTTATGTTTAGTTTGAGCCAAATAGTTCTTGCCTACCACAAGGAACAGGTCTTTTGTGTGCACAAGACACCCAGGATTTGCTTGTAAGTCACAGATCTCATTATGGCAGCATCATTTAAAAGTGCTTTGGAATAGGATTTCCCATCTGAGCCACTTCCAGTCCTGTCAGCAACTTCGTAGACAACATGGTTTTACTGTTACTGAGAATGGATGCTTAGTAAGGAGCTGGAGAGCTGTAGTCCAGGCACAGCTGAACTAGATTCATTCCAAAAAGAATTCACAACATTGAAATACACAGATGAGAAAAGGAAGGAAGGAAGGAGGGACAGAGGGAACGAGGAAAGGGGAGAGGGAGAGAAGGAAAGAGGGAAGGAAGGGAGGAAGGAAGGGGAGAGAGAGAGAGAGAGAGAGAGACAAATGTGTGCATCTAATATTGACAAAGCAAAAAAATTTACAATTTTTAACATAGTACTGCTCTGGTTTTCTCTCAGGAAACTATAGATCAACTCTTTCAATGTATGTGACTATAACTACTTGACTGAAGTCGTTTTGCCTTGAAAGCAATATTCCTCTTCTCTTAGCACTTTTCTTAGCTAGAGAGGACAGGACATTGTATAACTAACTTGCAGCTCCATTTATTGCCTAAGAAGATGAAGCTTTAGTCTGCTGAAGAATTCAACCTAGGTGAGGATTTTGTGACATTAACTTTGCTGCAATTTATTTTATAGAGATTAACCTAAATCCCCATAGGGAATTGTTTAAATAAATGATGCTATTTGCATACTGTGGAATATCATTACAAATAATGCTTATGAAATTAAACTCATATAGAAAATGTTTATGAAATCCTATTGAGGGAATAAGCTCAACCCACTAATGTCACTGAACATGTACCAGAAGAGACTACACCAAATATTAACCGTGGTACCTTTAGATTGGGGAAATCCTAAATCATTTTCTTCTTGTTCCCCATATGTCTGAGACTGTTTTAGATTGTCTACATACACCGATCACACTTTACTTTTATAACCATGGAGAGGATTACTCAAATCTGTCCAGCCAGTATAACTGGCATTTCAACAATATGAATTATTATTTTTAAATGTAGTACCTTAAGTGGGGGAGGGGAAGGAGAGAAGAACTAGCTGAGGAAATATACTTTAAAAGCAAAGAGCAGCAAAGACAAACGAACCTCACACACCTTGCCGCCCTCCTGCTGTGGCTTTGACAAGAGCCCATAGCAGCAGACCCTTCTGGTGGGAGGAAAAGGAGGCTGTCACTTGAAGCATTGACTT